TTATAAAGACAGTGCGCTCAGGGGGTTCTCTGTCAACGGACAGAAGTGCAACTGTGAAAATTATACTGAGAGGTACCCAGACCTGGGGAACAGCTGCCTAAGGCTGTACCCTCCCATTGCACCAGTGGGAGGGATCGGTGCTTGCACCGATGCCAGCACAACTGATGGTTGTGGGGGACTGAGGACAATTTTTGTCCTTTTCTCAAGCATATGTACTCCGGTCCCCACCTAAAAAAGATCTTGTGTAAATTGTCTAAGTGGAGGGAAGGAGTTAATACTGTATATTGATCATAAAGTGATAGTAAGTGAATAGAATTATCTTAAGAAGTAGCAAAATTACTTGGATAAATACACTAATAACAAACTACAAAACATAAAACCTACCATTGGAGAATTGGACACAAAATACAAGAATAGAAGAGAACAAGTTGTGCTGACCTGCCTCCACATAGGCCACACCTACATCATCCACCATCATTTACTGGAGGGCACAGAATCTCGAATATGTACTACATGCCAAAAAAGATTCATAGTTAAACATATACTGCTTGAGTGTACAAACTTTAATCGAGTGCGGAAACAATGTTACTAAACAAGTAATTTGAAGAAACTCTTTATGGAAATAACACCATACAGGATACTAGATTTTATAAAAGCAAATGGAATGTACTAAAAAAATATGAATACAACTGCATATATATATATATATATATATATATATATATATATATATATATGATCGAATACTACTGCATATATATATATATATATATATATATATATGATCGAATACTACTATATATATATATATATATATATATATATATATATATATATATGATCGAATACTACTGCATATATATATATATGATCGAATACTACTGCATATATATATATATATATGATCGAATATACTGCATATATATATATATATATATATATATATTCTACCAAACTATGCTAAAATCCATTCCAAAACAGTGTCGCTATTAAATGACCCACTGAGGTTGATGTGCCGTAAATCGAAATAACCAACTAACCGACAATCACAGGTCACAAATATAATAGTAAGTTGTAAAATGATGTGGGCATCAGTGTTTTTTATCAGTTCACCCTTTTCATTTGTTGGTAGTTACCAAATGCAGTTGTCTATTTGTATTTTAATCTCAAAGGTGGCAAGTACACAATGTTAACATTCTTTTATTTACTTGAGCAGGCTATGGTTTTCATGATCTAGAGTTGAGTTTCTCAATTTTTCTTACTCTTATGGGATCCCTGAAATAATTTTCATGTCTTATATTTTTATCATGGTGTCCATATATTATCAGCATAATATATGGACACCATGCACGCGTTGTGTACTCTAGTGAGCCACTCAATGACGCACGCGTTGTGTACTCGAGTGAGTCACTCAATAATACATGAAGCTACCCCTACAGTTTCTGTCTCTAAACCAGTGGAAGTGGTTTCACACTGACACCATATACATATCACTAAGTACATTCCCGATGATTATTGTAACCAAGTACTGTCCAACAAAATTCCGTATGTGTATAGTAAACTTATGAATTTAATATTAAACAAAAATGCATTAGACTATATATCACTTTTTCTTACAGAACCCTGGGGTCTGTGGAACACCAGTTGAGAAACACTGATCTAAAAAAAATTTTTTTTTTTTTTTTTTTTATGCAATTCACCCCAAGCAAGGCAGGAGTGCCACTAGCACACAATGGGTTACAGAGGATTAAGAACAAGAGTAAAGAGATGTGTTTGAGGTAAGCATACTGAAAAAGATAAGGTAACAAGATGTCGATTGACATTACACTTGAATATTTGAAGATTATAGTTATCGGGGAAGCAAGCAAAGGGAAAGGAGTTCCACAGATGGGAAGTGGGAGAGAAGAAGCTGTTTGAGTAGAAGAGACAATTACATTTAACCGTTTCAACAGTGAAAGGGTGGGACTGAGATGCCAGCCTAGTAGCTTGCTTAAATCCATGCAGTCTGGAAACCAGCATAAGTAGCTTGTCAGAACAGTTGCCATTAAAATATTTGTAGAAGAGACAGAGGGAAGCCATAGCACATCTGTGAGAAAGAGACTGTAGACTAGATGCCAGGACCTATCACATTGCATATTTGTCTCTGGATTTTGTTGTGGACCTCGAGACCTACAGCAAGGACACCAGACCATATATGGCAGCAATATTCCATACAAGGATGGATGTTTGATTTATAGATTTGAAGGTTGGATTCAGATGAGGAAAACTTTCTAGCATGACACAGAAAACCAACATTCCTTGCGGTAGATGAAGCTATTGATTCAGTGTATTTATTCCATCTCATGTCAGCAGACAGCATGAGACCAAGGAGGCATAACAAGGGGCTCTTGAGGAGTTGGAAATCAGCCATTCTGATGGGAGTTAGGTAGGATTTTCTGTGGTGTGTAAAGGAAAGTAGTTTCATTTTGGAGTCATTAAAGTTTACAAGTCATTTCCTGTCCCAGTCAATTACAGATATACATTGAATTCTGATGACTTGAGCACATAGTTAGCAAAATTAAACCAGAACAAGAATGGTGCAATTTCATTCAAGGCACTAGAACAAATAATGTAATTTTGTCAAGGACCTCGAAACCTACAGCGAGGACACCAAACCATATATGACAGCAATATTCCATGCAGGGACGGATGATTGATTTATAGATTTGAAGGATGTTTTCAGATGAGAAAAACCTTCTGGCGTGACATAGAGAACCAACTTTTCTTATGGTAGATGAAGCTATTGATTCAATGTATTTATTCCACCTTAAATCAGCAGACAGTGTGAGACCAAGTCCTTGAAAGGCATAAAAATTATAGATAGAAGGAATAATTGCTATTATAAAAACTATCAATAATTTACTAACATAGTGCTGTCAAAGGTCAGTCACTCTGGTTGAGTTTGGCTAATATTTTTGAGACAATGAGAGCAGGTACTAACAAGGATAGACACTTATGTCTGTGTATTGGAAGTTCTGATAGAGTGAGTGAGAAACTCTCTGGATGAAACAAAAAACTCTGATGTGAATTGGGCAATCGACTGAAGCCCTCACTTAAATAGCCATTTGTCCAGGGAAATGACATTGATGGATGTTATCTTCCTATAAAGACACTCTTTGTTAGGAAAACACGTGGCCCTTCTAAAAGTATCGCTAATCAGAGTCTGAGTTTTGATATTTTGGTAAGAATCAATGTAATTTAGGAGGATAGTCCATTAAGTAAACAGTTCCCAGACTTGGCAAAATTTTGTCGGATTTTGGCAAACATATTAATCTTGCCACAGAGAACCTCTTTGGGGATTGTGAAGTTTAGTATGGAAATGTCAGTCATACTGAATTTACTAAATCTTAGGCGGTTTATTTTTATTCCTTCGGTACCTCAAGTCACTGTCCGTTTTACATATGAATAAAGACAAAAGGATAACTTCTTAGCTGATGTATTTTGTCCTCTGTATGACTTTATCAAAGCAAATGCATGGATTTTATTTTGTAACAAGTATTTATATACAAGAGCAAAAATGTTACTGTTTTTTTTTTTTTTCAAAATTTTTAGATTTAACAATCTTCATAAATATTCAATAGGTTAGCCAAAAAGTCAGGCTATGGAAGATGCAAAGTGACACAATTCAGTGTCTAATAAACAGAATTTAAAATAGTGCTCAATATAAAAAATGAGAAAAAAAACGTGTTCAATATGAATTAACAATAAGAAAAAACATGCTCAGTGTAAAGTAACAATAATAAAACAGAGGTAAAATTCATACCAACAATAAATATACATATGTTCCTTCAGTATCTGTCTATATTTCTGAGATGAGGTATTATGTACATTATTTACATTATTCGGACTATTGTCCTCATCTTTGTCAACAAAGATGAGGACAATAGTCTGAATAATTTTAAATAATGTACATATATTCCTTACTGTAAAATGTATCTTATATATAAAGGATGTTTCATTAAGACGAATCAAAGTCAGTCGTAAATAAATGTTATTGGTGAAAAATGATTTATTTCTCTATTAGATCATATTTAAGTCATGGCAATTATGTGTAAAAAATAATATCGCCCAAAAGTCCATCAAGTCTTCAGCGGCACACCTCCAATCGATGGTCAAAATTTTTGATGACGTCTCTGCATAGTTTCTTCTCGATCTCACCAATATACCTTATCTCATCCTTCAGCTGTTGAATTCTTGTTGGCTTGTTGGCATAGACCTTAATTTTGAGATGACCCCAAAGGAAGAAATCTAAAGGTGTCAAGTCGCACGATCATGGTGGCCAACTGACTTCGCTGGTATGTGTAATTTTTCAACAGTAGTAATCATAGATACAAGACTTCATTTAAAGTTTAGTAGATTTTCATTGTGAGTTAGGATGTCATTTATGTATCTGAGGTAAGTAAAGGATCAAACTCACTATTCAATCATAACTGTTTTAACAAGACAAGCTTGCTAACCATTACACCATGCTAAGTGCATCTTAGCTGTGGCACAAGGCCAAAAATATGGAGCACCCAGTGAGGATCAAACTCACTATTCAATAACAACTGTTTTAACAAGACAAGCTTGCTAACCATTACACCAAACTGAGGTGCCCTGTTTCTGGGCGCAATATATTGATTCTTTTTAAGCGCATCTTAGCTGTGGCACAAGGCCAAAAATGTGGAGCACCCAGTGAGGATCAAACTCACTATTCAATAACTGTTTTAATGAGACAAGCTTGCTAACCATTATACCATGCCAAGGTGCCCTGTTTCTGGGTTCAATATATTGATTCTTTTTAAGCACATCTTAGCTGTGGCACAAGGCCAAAAGTATGGAGCACCCAGTGTGGATCAAACTCACTATTCAATAACTGTTTTAATGAGACAAGCTTGTTAACCATTACACGATGCTGAGATGCCATGTTTCTGGGCTAAACTAATTTTTGTTTAGTGAGTTGTCAGCGGTATAAATATTGTATGGAATGTTGTAATTTTGATTTCCTTTTTGGTCATCATTGCTTTCTGTGTCCTGGTTACATTCAACCTTCGTTTGCACCATTTCTGTGCGGAATTCTTCATTGTCTCTGCCATGGACATGTTGCTGTTTTACATGCTTTGCTTTGTTTGTCTCCAGTGCTGCCGTTTGTTCTATCCTTCCTCATTTGTGTTCTGGCTGCAGAAAAACAACTTCAATAAACTTGTTTTCCATGTTTATGTTTATCAACTTCTGGATTAAGTCAGCAGAGTTAACATACGCTGGGTTAATGGTAGCTCGGAAAGGAGTTAGTTGTTTTACAATTACTTTAGCTAGTTTATTGGGGGTGCTGTTGTTGCAAGATATAATGGGTCAACTGAGTATGTTGGGTTTGTATGTTTTGAATAAGCTGTCAGTGGAGTAATGGATAGTGGCTTGGAGTGAGGAATTGGAGAGCTGAGTTTGAATTCCAGTTGAATTCATTATATTCACTTATGTGCTAATACTCTTAGGAAAGGTATGAATCCTCTTCTCCCCCCAGCTGTGGGTAAATAGCAGGACAGATCAGGTTCTATAAACTTGGATGGCAACTGGTCTATCGCAGAAAGAAATGGCAACCTACTGCAGGGAAAAATCTGCCTGGTTAGTCATGTATCGAAAGATACACTATTGCCTAAACGTGTATCACACATGGCACATAATTGACTGAATGGATAGTGGCTCAGAATTGGAGGAATCTGAGAGCCGAGTTTGAAATCCAGTCAAATCCATTACATTCACTTACATGCTAATACCATTTGGGAAATCCTCTTCTTCTCCCCCCAGCTATGGGTAAATAGTAGGACAGATCAGGTTCTGTAGCCTTAGATGGCAACTGGAAATGAGAAAGAAATGGCAACCTACTGTGGGAAAAATCTGCCTCATCAGTCATGTATTGATAGGTACATGATCGCCTAAGCATGTATCACATATGGCACATACTGACTGTATATTGTAAGACTTAAAGGGTGGTATGTGATTAGTTTATTCCATGATTTGTTGTTTTTTACCAGTCTCTTGACTGTTTTGTTGAATATTTGTATGTCTGTATTTACCATTTAATTGTTGGTTTTCTTGTATTATCATCATTTAAGAGAGATTCTAATTTGTTGATGTAATTGTTGGTGTCTATGATGACACACACGCATACATATATACAGGGTGACCCAAAAAAACAGGAATTTTTGAAGTGCGTATTGCCAGACATGAGCAAGTGGCAACACTGCGAGACAGTGACCTTGAGCAAGTAAACATTTCACCATTTAGAATTCCAGATGAAATTCACAGTATCCCACCTGAGATGTTGCAGCAGTCAATGAGGAATCTCAACAGCAGATTTCAAGAATGCATTCGTACAGGAGGACGCCATCTACAGGATGTAATTTTAAAAATGAAAATTCCATCATTGTTTCTTAAATGGCATGTTTTAAGGTTTCAATTACTATGAATAAAATATTTTTCTTCTATCATTCTTTTTTTTATTGTTAAAAAAGTTCTTTTTGGGTCACCCGTTTTTTGGGTCACCCTGTGTGTATATATATATATATATATATATATATATATATATTTTTTTTTTTTTTTTTTTAAAAAATTAAAATCTTTAGACACACTGGATTGTAGATTAATATTATTTTTTTTTTTTATTATTTCCATTTAGTTTTCCTCCTCAATATATATATATATATATATATATATATATATATATATATATATATATGTTGTTTGAAGATGGCATTCAAGCGTGAAATAGACTGTTGCCATTTGATGTTGACCTCAGTGTACACTTTTATATTCACATATACTCGGACAGAACTGACAAAGTATACCTCACAACCTGTTCTTGAAAAGAACCTCCACTCAGTGGTTAACTTGGGCAAGAAATGGCTTGTAAATTTTAACACCTCCAAAACAAAACTGCTTCCATTTGACCACCACAGAACCTTTTCTGCTTGCGTTCTTGGCCTCATTTTTCCACTGACATGAAGTGGAGTGATAGTATCGAATCAATTGCTTTATTTCCTGCAGGGAAAGTTGGTGCACTTTGTTGTGCCCAAAACTTTTTCTCGTCAGAATTCCTATTGCACTTTTACAAATCTACTATTTGTTGGTGCATTGAATACTCTTGCCATATTTGGTCTTGTGCTACTACTATATATCTCAAGATTCTTGACAAAATCCAAAGAAGGATCTGCAATGTAATCAATCCTGACCTGGCATCTCGACTTCAGTCATGTTCTCTTTAAAGTGACATGGCTTCCCTCTGTCTTTTCTACAAATATTATCATCGCAACTTCTCTGACAAGGTTTTTTTTCCTTGATGCCCCAACTACATGTATTTACATGAACTACTAGATTGGCAAATAGGTCCCACTATTTTATTTCTACTCTGATATTTTTTTTCTCACACTTCCCAACTATTTTGCTTCCCTGATAACTACAATCTTCAAAAATTTAAATGCAATGTCAATATATGAGAGTGAAGTGATGTAATAATTACCAGTAGAGCATAGAAATTTGAATTGGCAATCTGAGTTAAAATCCAGTCACTTCCGTTTCATTCATTTTGAGCTAATTTCTTTTGAAAAAGGCATGAACCCAACTTATTCCGGCTATGTTAAATAACAGGACAGATCGAGTTCTCTTGCAATGAGTGGCAGCCAGTCAATGAGAAGAAAAATTCTAAATTTCTAAAAACCATGTCTTTCCTGGGATGATCCAGTTTTAGTGCTAGTATTACTCTTAGGTTTTTCTTTTCTTTCCTCTCTCTCTCTTTCTTGCTTTCCTTTCCTTTCTCTTTCTTTTCTTTCCTCTGTCTCTCTTTCTCACTTTTCTTTCCTCTGTCTCTCTTTCTCACTTTTCTTTCCTCTGTCTCTCTTTCTCACTTTTCTTTCCTCTGTCTCTCTTTCTCTTTTTTTCTTTCTCCTTTCTTCTCTCTCTTCTCTTTCTTCTCCTTGTTTCTCTCCATTTTTCTCTCTCTCTTTCTCTTTCTTCTTTCTCTCTCTCATTTTCCTTTCTCTTTCTCTCATTTTCTTTCTTCTTTCTCTCTCTCTCTTTCTCTCATATCATTCCTTTCTCTCTCTCTCGCTTTCTCACTTTTCTTCCCTCTCTTTCTCCTTTTTCTCTCTTCCTTTTCTTTCTTCTCTTTCTCTCTACACGCATTTCTTCTTTCTCTCTCTCTTTCTCAACATTTCTTCCTTTCTCTCTCTTCTTTTTCTCACTTTTCTCTTCTTTTTCTCTCTCTCTTTCACTTTTTCTTCTCTTCTCTCTCTCTCTCTCTCTCTCTCTCTCTCTTTCTTCTTTTTCTCTCTCTCTCTCTCTCTCTCTCTCTTTCTTATATTACTTTTCTCTCTCTCTCTCTCTTATACTCTCTCTCTTTTTCTTTATTTCTCTCTTTTTCTTATTTCTCTCTCTCTTATATTTTCTCTTCTCTCTCTCTCTCTTTCTTCTTTCTATCTCTCTCTCACACATTTCTTCTTTATCTCTCTCTCTCTCACACGCATTTCTTCCTTATCTCTGTCTCTCTCTCATTTTTTCTTTCTTATCTCTCTCTCTCACACTTTTTTCTCTCTTTCTTTCTTTATCTCTCTCTCTCTTATCTTCTCAATCTCTCTCTCTCACTTTTCTCTCTCTCTCTTTCTTATTACTTTTCTCTCTCTCTCTCTCTTTTTCTCTTCTCCTTATTACTTTTTCTCTCTCTCTCTCTCTCTCTCTCTCTCTCACTCATTTCTTCCTTATCTCTCTCTCTCACGCATTTCTTCCTTATCTCTCTCTCTCACGCATTTCTTCCTTATCTCTCTCTCTCACGCATTTCTTCCTTATCTCTCTCTCATCTTATATTACTTTTTTCTTTTCTTCTTACTTTTTTCTCTCTCTCTCTCTCTCGCATTTCTTCTCTTATCTCTCTCTCTCACTTTATATTACTTTTCTTTCTTCTTTCTTTATCTCTCTCTCTCGCATTTCTTCTCTCTCTCTCTCTCTCACGCATTTCTTCTCTCTACTTTTTCTCTCTCTCTCTCTCTCTCTCTCTTTTTCATTTTTTTTCTCTCTTTCTCTCTCTCTTTCTTTTCTCTCTCTTTCTTTGTATTACTTCTCTCTCACGCATTTTCTTCTCTTATCTCTCTCTCACATACTTTTTTCTTCCTTATCTCTCTCTCTCGCATTTCTTATTACTTTTTTCTCTCTCTCACGCATTTCTTCCTTTTCTCTCTTTCTTATATTACTTTTTCTCTCTCATTTCTTAATACTTTTTTCTCTCTCTCTCTTATATTCTTTTTTCTTCCTTCTTTCTCTCTCTCTTATATTCTTTTCTCTCTCTCTCTATATACTTCCTTTCTTCCTTTTCTTTTCTCTCTCTCCTTTTCTCTCTCTTTCTCACTCTCTTTCATTTCTTCCTTTCTCTCTCTCTTTCTCACGCATTTCCTTTCTCTCTCTCTTTCTCTCTCTCTTTATTTTCTCTCTCTCTCTCCTTATACTTTTTCTCTCTCTTTCTCTCTCTCTCTTTCTTACTTTTCTCTCTCTCTTATATTACTTTTTCTCTCTCTCTCTCTTCTTATTTCTTTTTCTCTCTTCACTTTTCTTCCTTTCTCTCTCTTTCTCACGCATTTTCTTTTCTCTCTTCTCTCTCATTACTTTTTCCTCCTTTCTCTCTCTCTTTCTTATATTACTTTTTTCCTTTCTCTCTCTTTCTTTTCTCTCTCTCTTTCATTTCTTTTTTTCTTTCTCTTTTTCTCGCATTTCCTTTCTCTCTCTCTTTCTCTCTTTCTTATATTACTTTTTCATTTCTTTTCCTTTCTCTCTCTCTTTTTTCTGTCTCTCTTTTTCCTTTCTCTCTCTCTCTTTCTCTCTCGCTCTTTCTCTCTTTTTTCCTTTCTCTCTCTCTTTTCTCATACACTTTTTCCTTTCTCTCTTTTCTCTCTTTCTTTTTATATTTTCTCTCTTCTCTTTCATTTTCCTTTCTTCTCTTCTCTCTCTCTTTCTCTCTCATTTCTCTTTCTCACTTTTCTTTTTTTCTCTCTTATATTCTCTCTCTCTTATATTACTTTTTCTCTCTCTCTCTTTTCTCTCTCTCTCTCTCTTTCTTATATTACTTTTTTCTCTCTCTCTCTTTCTTATATTACTTTTCTCTCTCTCTCTCTCTTTCTTATATTACTTTTTCTCTCTCTCTCTTTCTTATATTACTTTTTCTCTCTCTCTCTCTTTACTTTTTCTCTCTCTCTCTCTTTCTTATATTACTTTTTCTCTCTCTCTTTCTTTCTTATTTTTTTTCTCTCTCTTTCTCTCTCTCTCTCTCTTTTCTTATATTACTTTTCTCTTTTCTCTCTCTCTTTCTTATATTACTTTTCTCTCTTTTCTCTCTCTCTTTCTTATTTTACTTTTTCTCTCTCTCTTTTCTTATATTACTTTTTTCCTCTTTTTCCTCTCTCTCTTATTACTTTCTCTATCTCTCTTTCTCACTTTTCTTTCATCTCTTATTTCTTTTCTCCTTATCCTCTTTGTTTCTTTTTCCCTTCTCCTTTTTTTCTCTTTCTACTTTTCTCTCTCTCTCTTCTTCATTTTCTCTCTCTCTTTCTCTTTCTTTTCCCTCTTTTTCTTTTTTCCCTCTCATTTTTTTTCTTTTACCCCTCTCCTTTCTTATTTCTTTTCTTTCACCAATCTCCCTCGTTTTTCATTCACCATCCCTTCCTCCTTTTTCTCTAATCCATCACTTTTCTTTTATTTTCTCTCTCTCTCTCTTTCTTATATTTTTCTCTCTCTCTCTTTCTTATCCACCCCCCCTCTTTTCTTTTCTTTCAGCTCTTCTTGTATTTGTTGCTATCTTTACATTTTCTTTTCTTTTTCCCACCAATCTGCTGCTTGCCTCACATTTAAAACAGGCTTTTTCAAAGTTATTCAGTTTTAGTCACGTTTTTAACTTTTCTCTTTTGTGTATATGTATATTTTTTCAAATAAATCTTCTTTTTATACAAAAGATTTAAAAAAAAATTCTATTTCCAATTCAAATTAATCTACCCGTGCTCCAATGCTAGATGAGGTGATTAGCTAGAGTGTTAATGCACTGGTCCAGATATTTTTGAGTTTCATCGTTCAAACCGAACAACATTAGAAGCTGAAAGAGAATTTCAGAGCGTGTCACAATTCAGCGAATCCAGTCAGCAACTGCATTGGTACTGGATGTGTAGTTTTGTCGCTTTGCATGGATCACTGAACAGAATGCACTCGCAATCGCATGTGTGAAGAGAACCTTTCTCTCTTTCATGCTATTTTTAAAAAAATATAAAGTGCAACATTGGGGGCAAAATATTAAACTGGTTCTGATGGAAATTGCATATTTAGTTGAGTCTTGTGCAAAAAGAATCAGATTATGAGAAAATTGTATTCAAGACAACTGGAGAATGCTTTGTTAAAAGATCTAACCAAAGTATACCTGATTCTCTTTAATATTTTATTGTCAAAACTTTTCTATAACCTTTTCCTTCACTCTATCCCTCCTCCTCCTTTTGCCCCACGCTCTTTTTGTCCCCACTTTTCTCCCCTTCCCCACACTCCTTTGCCCCCCCCCCTTCCGCACTTTTTGTTCACTTTTCTCCCACACTTTTTGTCCTCTCCCCCACTTTTCTCCTGCACCCTTTTTGTTCCCCACTTTTCTCTTGGACCCTTTTGTTCCCCCACTTCTCTCCCCGCACTCTCTGTCCCCCAATTTTCTCCACTCTCTGTCCCCCCAATTTCTCCCCACTCTCTGTCCCCCAATTTTCTCCCCTCTTTGTCCCCCATTTCTCCCCTCTTTGTCCCCCATTTTTCCACCTCTTGTCCCCCATTTTCTCCTGCACTCTTTGCCCCCCCACCTCTTTGTCCTCCCCAATTTTCTCCCCACTCTTTGTCCCCCATCCCCCTTTTATCCCACACACTTTATTCCCTTCTCCCCCTTTTGCCTCCTCCCCACTCCCCCACTTTTCTCCCATTTTTCTCCCCACTTTTCTCAGCACTCTTTTTTGTCCCCATTTTCTCAGCACTCTTTTTGTCCCCATTTTCTCCAGCACTCTTTTTGTCCCCATTTTCTCCAGCACTCTTTTTGTCCCCATTTTCTCCAGCACTCTTTTTGTCCCCATTTTCTCCAGCACTCTTTTTGTCCCCATTTTCTCCTGCACTCTTTTTGTCCCCCCTTTTCTCCCACACTCTTTTTGTCCCCACTTCCTCCAGCACTCTTTTGTCCTCACCTTTTACCTCTTCCCCAATTTTCTCCCTCTCCCTTTCTTGTCTCCCACTTTTCTACTCCTCTCTTTTTATTCCCCCTTTTTCTCCCTCTTCTTTGTCCTTTTCTCCCACTTTCTAGCCCCTCTCCTCCTTATCTTGTCTCTTTTCTTTTACTCTCTTTCTTATTCCACCCTATATCCCTCACTTTTTCATGTCATGCTTTTGCTCCTCTCCCCTGTACCACTTCCTTCCTCCTCTGTAATAATTCCTTCTCTCACTTCCCCACTAAAGCTTATCTCTTTTATTCCAATTTTTCTTCTCTTTCACTTCTTCCTTCCTGTCTCTCTTTCTTTCTTTCTTTCCCCATCTTTTATTTTTCCTCTTTGCCACCTCTTCTCTTTCATTCTTTGTCCAGACAAGTCAAAATCAACTTGAACGACTTCGAATGGATTAAATTCTGGTGCCACTCCACAGAATCGTATAAAATTAAATCTTTTGTCTTTAACTAAACTGATTTATTTTGAAAAAGTATCACAAATTATTCGTGAAACATCACAAACAAAACTTTTTTATTACATTATTCAGTCGGTGATCAATAACTCGTATATATTTGCACAAAAGATAATCACATTAAAATTAAAATATAAATCACTTTCTTTCCTCAAGCTGCTTTCATAAATTTGATTTTATTAAGAATTAACCTCAGTGAGTATGAGTGTGGGATGTGTGGGTGGTGCAGTGGATAATAGCCTGGAATGTGAAATCAGAGAGCCGAGTTCAAATTCCAGTTGATGCTAAACAAGGTGATTAGCTAGATTGTTAGTGCACTGGTCCAGATATTTTTGAGATTTTGTTCCCCCTTTTCTCTCACACTCGTTTTCTCCCCCTTTTCTCTCACACTCGTTTTCTCCCCCTTTTCTCTAAATCCTTAAAATAAAGGACAAATTTGAATTTTTCGTTTTCTCCCTTTTTTCTTGCACTCTTTTTTGTCCCCCTTTTCCTACTGAACTTGAAAAACCTATTTTCCTGAAAAATGTTTTTAAGAGAAAGATTTCATAAATTTCAACCAATGGTTACATTGACTTCTCAGTTAATAAACACCAAAGTATAACAACTAAATCCTTAAAAATGAAAGGACAAATTTCGAATTTGGTAATAAACTGATATTAATAAATCTTGATGAAAGCCACATAGAGGAACCAAATAACATTATCATATTTTTATTAGCTGATGTGCATGAAAATATTCTAAGAATACCTAAAAGGAAAAATATACACACATGGAATGATAATCCTGAGTTAAAGAAAAAACTCATGGAAGAAAGAAAGAAACAGAAATGTAAGAAAAATAGAAAGACAATTAACAAAGATTTTAAAAAATAGTTAATTAATGAAGCAAAGCAGCATAGACAATGTGTTAAAATGTGGAGAAAAGCAAAAAATTACAATAACATCATACAAAAAAAAAAACAAAACAGAATGACACAGAAGAAATGTCCTGGTCTCAAAAGACATTTTGAGTTGCATTTCAACCCTGATCACACTTAACTAAAAATGCCTACAGAAATAGAAAATATACCAATATACATCTAATCATTACAAAGTCAGCATCCAAACATAAACAATAATGAACGTACTAATAAGGAAATAAAAAAGCTATTAAAAAACTAAGGAATAAAAAAAAAAAAAAAAAAACTATCACTGAATATTGAGGCTGAACTTTTGAAAATAGATTACTTTCTCCTAAAATTCAAAAACAAGTTTCTCAATTTCACAAAGGAAGTTTGGAATCAGAAACACATACCAAAATAATGGGGTTTATTACTATGGAAACGAAATGCTAGCCCTCAAGATTCACACACATACAGAGGTATCTCAGCTGGATCTATTATTGTGAATGTAATAATGAATATTATGTTAACTAGACTCTCATCGTTTTAGGAAAGTCACAACCATGTTTGGTTTCCATTCTGGTAAGGAATGGAATGATGGACATACCAGGTGTAACAGCAAAATTGTCCAAATTGTGTGACAACAACATTGTTCAAATTGTGTAACAGCAAAATTGTTCAATTGTTAGATTAAAATCTGAACCGTTGTATCTTAGAAATGATTAAAGATATCTTACTGGAATGTACAGGTGGAATATACATGTGTTATCAACAGCTTCGTATTCAACAGTACCTTCAACTGAACAGCAAATATCTAGAGCATATACTCGAGGACTCCTCTCATGTGTGAGACTAAATGTTTGCAGATCCTAAAATGTTGTCCCTTTACCTTTCAATAAATGTAATTTCCATTACTCCATCATTTCTGATCCTTGATTTTTGCCCAATCATTTTGTTTCAAAAATTGTGAAACACCCTGTATATACCACTGTTTATTTTTAAATCAGTTCACTGTCATATGAGACAATTTTTTCCCTCCAGAATCTATCTTGCATATCTATAAGTCTACTGCTCAACCATGTTCAGAATACTGCTGCCATATATGGTCTGATGCCACTGATATTTATCTGGAGCTCCTTTATAAAATCCAAAAGAAGAATCAACAATATTATTGGTCCTGATCTGGCAACTTGTCTTCAGTCACTTTCCCACTACCGTAAGATTGTCTCTCTGTCTTTTCTATAAATACTTTCATAGCAATTGTTCGGATGAGCTCTTCGCTATGGTACTTAGATTTTATGATTCAAGCGCAACACTAGACTGGCATCGAGATCTCATCAATTTACAGTAAAATTGGCTAGATGTAACTAAGTTCTATGTTAACACTTTCTTTTCTCGCACTCCTCACTTGTGGAACTCCCTTCCGGCTTCATGCTTTCCAGCCAACTTTAATCTGCAAGAACTTAAACACAATGTCAATCCCAAAATAGTGGGGTTTATCATATATTATTGCACTATGGAAACAAAAGGTAGCCCTCAATGCCCTTACACATACAGAGGGATCTTGACTGGATCTATTATTGTGAAAGTATTAAGGAATATTATGTAAACTAGGCTCTTATAGTTTTAGGAAAGTTAACTCCTCATGACACAATTTGGTTTTTATTGTGGTAAGTGATGTAATGATAGGCATATATGTCATCAAACAACTCCAGGAAATTGCTTACCTCTCTAATAGGAAATTGTATGCCTATTATGTTGACCTCACAGTAGCAGAATAACCACATCAATAGACTTTCTCTTTTCATCCATTAGAAATTATATTCCAAGCTCTGAATGCACTGAATACATAAATCTAATAGAGGAACTTTATCTTCAGGAAAATAGCTTTCTCAAGTTCTGTAATTGTCATTGCTTTTTTCTGTACTTGTTTGGTTGATTTTGTCTAGTGGCATATCAACATCTCTATGGGTTATTTAATGCAGAAATCTAAATATTTTGTACGTAACTTCATGCTTTCAACTACCGATATTTTGTACATAATTTTATGCTTTCAGGGTAAAGGTATGGTTTTTTTTAGATATAGAGTTTGTAGATAAATATATATTTAGATTTTGGCATTAAATAACCCCTAGAGGCTGATATGCCACTAAACAAATTCAATCAACCAACAATATATATTTATAGTAAAATTACCAACAATACATATTTAAAAAAGAAAAATGACCAACAATAAATTTTATCTGTAGTTGAAGCCATAAAATTGTGTTCTAATATTTAGATTTCAGCATTAAATAATCCATAGAGATTGATATGCC